CCCCCCCCCCGCAGCAGCATCATGTTTCGGGGACCCATCGGGTGCTCCACTGGAGGCCCCAGTGGCGGCCCGCACATGCGTTTCCGCCACCCATGTCGGCACGCCCCGCGCGTGTTTCATGTCCCCATAGGGAGCTTCGCCGAATGCCCCCGTGGCACCCATCTCGGCACACCCCTCACACGTTCCGTAATCCTATGGGGAGTTCCATTGAAGATGAAACCCGCAGCTGCGGTACTGACAGCTGCATACGGTTGGGTTCTTCGCCAGGCTAATTTCCAAGGGCCTCAGCGCGTTCGCCGCGTCCTCGAAGGTTTTCGGGCGGTTTCAGCCTCGGGACGCCCTCCAGCATCTGCGCCTCGCCGGGAGCGTTCTGGGGGTGCCTGGATCGTCCTGGAAACCCGAGCTACTCCAGGTTTTGCGGCGCCGAGGCCTTTCTACCTTCAAGATTTTCCGAGGCCGCCTCCTCCTTCCTCGTCTCCTTCTCCTCCTCCTCCTCCTTCTCCTCCTCGTCTTCGAAGGCTCCCTGGCCCTCCCCACCTCAAGATTTCCTGAGAGGCCTCCTTCTCCCATCTTCAAGATTCCCGACACATCCTTCTCTTCCAGATTTTCCACGGCCCGCCTGCGTGCCCTCCATCCTTCTTCCTGCTGAATAGAATCCTGGAGGGAAACAAACCATCGACATCAATAAACGTCGATGGCCAGGACAATGTGGGAACATGTGGGAAGAGGAGGGGAAGACGAAAATCCAGGAAATGTGGAAACATTTTGGGGATCCTGGAATGTGTGTGTGTGTGTGTGTGCGTGTGTGTTCATTTCTTCCTCCCCGGGCCCCTTTAAAAACTCTCCCCATTGACGCACCACCAGGCGTCGTGTGCGTAGGCCGTGCCGGCCTGTTTGCCCGAGAGGCTTCCCTGCCACTCTTGACGCTTCGCGCATTCCCCCACCGGCCTTTGCGCGCCGCGGTCCAGGCCAGAGCGGCCGCTCTTCTCCGCTGGAGCGGCACGAGGGCGCGAGGGCGCGAGGGCTCGGGGATGGACTGTCGATCCATACCCCCGATGCTGCCCTCCACTGGCCACCAGGGGCTGCAGGGCATGGATAAAAGCCTAGCGTCCAGAGGCAGGATTTTTTGTTCATGCCACCACCCCGCCCCCTCGTAGAGTCCTTGTGAGCAGGGGTATGGATAAAACGTCGTTCGCCTAAAGGCAATCGCGCCTCTGGATGGCCTAGCATTTCGTCGTCGTCGTCGTCGTCGTCCCAGCCTGTAGTGGCCGATGCTGCTGCACCTGCGCCGACGCGGACCAAGTCGGTGCTCTCTGCCCCTCCTGGCCCGAGCGCTGCTGGCAGTATGCGGCCGGTCGACAGCGATCGGCTCCGCGCCCTCGCCGGGTGCATAGCCTCGCCAGGGAGGAGGCATCCAGGTGAGCAACACAGAAGCATGGGGCCGTCTTCACCGACATTGGCGCGTAAGCGTCCCGCGTAAGGTCGCGCGTGAGCGCGCTCGTTTCCGATGCAGCGCGTCGGCCAGCGGCCCGCGTGAGCCATCGCGTAAGGTCGCTAACCCTGTGCCAGAGAGACTAGCACCCTGGGGATAGTATAGTTCGGGGTCCTGGGAGGATGATAATAAACATTGCCCAGAGATATTGTTGGCATGTCCGGATGGGTCTTGAATGACATGCGAGCTGATCTGGAGAAGCCTTCCCCTGGAGCTTGTCTGAAGGAGTTGGGTGAGCGCGAATCCTGAGAAACATTGTGGTATAACGATACGCTGGCATTAGCTGCGGGGACCGAATCAGGGGAGGGGACGCTCGAAACAGTGAGCGTTTCGCTTGAAACACCCTCGCAAAACTAAAACGTTAGCCACAATGCTTTTCACAAGACCAAGCATTTTGCTTGGGAAGTCCTCTAAAAGCTGCTGGTCATGAACTTAGCGAATCTTCGAGAACTTGCGTTTCGCCTGATACGTCCTCACGAAATTGATAATGAGAATTGCTCACGGTGTTTTGCATGATATGAAGATCAGAGCGACTGTGCGAACTTTGCGGGTGGTTATAAAGTTCGCCCAAAGTTCGCCCCCCGTGCCTCTTGTGGCAACTCAAAACCAAAATCACATACACCCCGCGAATAATCAGATAGAGGGGGTGAAGGGGGGGGGGGGGTAACCTTTGTTATCCGCGGCATGCAGTTAAAACGTCCTGCGTAAGACGCCTCTATTTTTGTCGCTCAGGTCATGCTCCAAGGATGCCTGTGCGCCCCCTCCCATCGCTCGCCTTGGTCCGCACCCCTTCCGCCCATCGTTGCGTGATAGCTGGCCACGAATCAAGCCTCCTGATGGATTTTGGAGGTCGCCTTGTCGACCGCGGCGACCACGGCGGCCACGAATCGGGGTAAGGGAGTGACATGCCCACAATGTCGGTTTTGGAGGTCGCCGCGGCGGCGACCACAACTCGAGGCAAGGTTTTTGTCAAGAAGTGACATTGCGGCATGCCCCTTCCCACCCCCACCCTCTCTGCGATGCAGACGTTGCTTCTAATACATTTGTCGCGACAGAGACTTGTCAATGTATGTTCAACATGACCAGTCAGTTTTTTTGGTTAGGGGTCGATTATCGCGCAAACAATCCGTGTGACGAAGCAAGGACGGACGTTCTGCCTCAGGCTGTCCGCCCCCTTTCTATTGTACGCCTGAGTTCTCATTTGGAGGCGCTCCTCCTCCTCGTCGTCGTTGTCCTCCTCCTCCTCCTCCTCCTCTCCTCCTCGTCCTCCTCCTCCTCCTCCTCGTCCTCGTCCTCCTCCTCGTCGTCCTCCTCCTCCTCGTCCTCCTCCTCGTCCTCCTCCTCCTCCTCCTCCTCCTCCACCTCCTCCTCCACCTCCTCCTCGTCTCCTCCTCGTTTTCCTCCTCGTCCCCTCCTCCTCCCTCCTCCTCCTCCTCCTCTCCTCCTCCTCCTCCCTAACTCCTTTCCTTCCTCTCACCTCCTTTCTGTCTTGCCTCTCTCCTCATCTCGCTTGCTCCTTTCCTTCCTCCTTCCTACCTGCCCCTCTCTACCTCCTCTTTTCCTCTCTCTCTCTTCTCCTCCTCCTCCTCCTCCTCTTCTCCCCCTCTCCTCCTCCTCCTCCTCCTCCTCTTTCCCTCCTCCTCTCCTCCCTCCTCCTGCCTCCTTTTCCTCCTCCATCCTCCTCCTCCTCCCCGTTTTTCCTCCTCGTTCCTCTTCCTTGCCTTTTCTCCTCCATCTTTCTCCTCCCTCTTCCTCCTAATCCGCTTCTTCCCGCTCCCCTTGTCTCTCCTCCTCCTCTTCCTCCCTACCTTCTCGCTTCCTATCCTCTCCTTGCTCCGGGGTCCTCCTTCTCCTCCTCCTCCTCCTCCTCCTCCCCCCTCTCTTCTCCCCCCCCCTATCCAACCCTCCGGCCTTCCCTCCCCCCCATCCTACTCGCCTCTCCCCCTCTCTGCCAAACACGTTCCTCCTGGGCCTCCTCCTCCTCCTCCTCTCCCTTCTCCTTCCTCGTTTTCCTCCTCTTCCTCCTCCTCCTCCTCCTCCTCCTCCTCCTCCTCTCCTCCTCCCTCCTCCTCCTCCTCCTCCTCCTCCTCCTCCTCTCCTCCTCCTTCTCCTCCTCCTCCTCCTCACTCCTCCCCCTCCTCCTCCTTCTCCTCCTCCTCCTCCTCCTCCTCCTCCTCCTCCCCGTTCTCCTCCTCGTTCTCCTCCCCGTTCTCCTCCTCCTTCTCCTCCTCGTTCTCCTCCTCCTCCTTCTCCTCCTCCTCTTCCTCCTCCTCCCCGTTCTCCTCCTCGGTGTCCTCCCCGTTCTCCTCCTCGTTCTCCTCCTCGTTCTCCTCCTCGGTGGGCCACGTGCCGATCCCAGACTTGAAACCGTGACAAACATGGCGCACAAAGCGGAGTGAGCACGGCGCCCAAACGCAGCAAAAACAGCGCCCAAGTGTGACAAAGGCCGTGCCCGCAGTGGAATAAACGACGCCGATCTTGGCGGCGGTGCGCGAGGGGCGGGGCGGGCGCGAGGGGGGCCGCTCTCGGAGAAGGCGGGCGCGCTTCTGAAGGCATGGGGCTTCTTGAACGTGGCATCGCTCGGAAGGTTGCATTTTTGCTTGGCGGGGACCATCGGGCATTCTTGACCATCTCGCGAGCCAGAAATGCACGAGACCAGAACGTGCACAGGGAGTGGACGTCCGAGCGATGGCAAGCTTGGGTGGGTGGGCTCGCGGGAGGCGTTGCTTCCTCAGACTCGGGCTTCCGGGAGGGCTTCCTGGAAACCGGGGGGGGGGGCTTGCAAGAAGCCCCTTGCCTTCTCAGCAGCTCCCTCGCCTTCTCAGAGGGCCGCCTTCCTCGCGGTACCCCCGTGCGCGCGCCGTCAACTCCTCGACCTGGTACATGCCAGGATCCACAGGCGCAGGGTGTACGTACGGTAGCTTCGTGTCGCGGCGACGCGGCGGCGACGCCATCGCGGGCGCTCAAGCTTGAGCGGCGTCAGTGGACCGGAATCGCCCAGTATCGAGCGATCTTCGGAGGTTGATAAACATCCTACCCTGAGACGTCGATCGGCGAATTGGCCGTGTTCGGTTCGCCAGAGGGCGTCGCGGCCGTCATTTTTGCGGGTCCAGGTCCTAGGCCGTTTTCACCAGAGGGAGGTTTACCGAAGGGAGGCTTGTCCCTCGCCGAGATCTGAGCCGTGGGTCAGCGTCACGGCACGAGCCTGCCACAGTGAATTTGGGCAAGGGCGGGTCACAGGGAGAGCAGGGTCTGCGTCAGCCCAGGCCCCCCGCCAGGGGGTGTGGCCCCCGCCCAGCGTGCTTCCCCTGGCGCGCGATTTCCCCCCTTCGCCTTCCTCCCCTCCGCCCTCCCCGCGCTCCCCCGTCGTGTCGTCTCTTCGTCGGTCGTTTCTTTCTTCTTTGCCACAGGGCCCCTCGTGCGCTTGTTAGAAGTGTTTACCCCGAGGGTAGAGTTCCACATGCCCTACATGGGGTTCGTGGAGGACATCTACGTGCATTCGGACGAGCCGAGGGGCCTGATGAGGCTGTCGTACTATTCAGGTGCCGCCTTTCCAAGACGACGTGACCTGTGCTGCTGCGGCCGTGGCACTTCTCGCCCCCATCTCGGCCTGCCGTCTGTCAGTATGGGGTCCAACTCCGAACGGCTGCCAAATGCATAGCGATGCTTGTGCGAACTCGAGCGAAGTTGACAGGAGGCAACCGCGAATCTGGGTGACATTGCGAGCCGAACTGCCGTCATAATGGCAATCGGTGGCCCGTCTGCTTGCTGCCTGCTTGCTCGCTCGCATGATTCTCCGCTTGCTTCCAGAGGGCTATACTATTGATAGCCACGCGCACATTCGTACCAGAGTGCATGCAAACTGCTCGTCGCAACGAAGAGAAGCCCGCTGCAGCACATGCAGCACACCATGGGAGCAGGCCTGGGTGGACCCTGAGCAGGAAGTGAAATCCAAGACAAGCCCGCAGCCGCAGCCGGCGGTCGCCACCGATCCGCCCGCGCCGATCCTCGCGGCAGGCCACTCCCGGGCCAAGTGTCGGTGCACACGCTTTTTTGGCCAGGCCAGGAGGGAGTCTATATCGAAGGACAGAAAGGCACAGACGTAATTTCTTGGAGGTTCGCGCAGATTTCTTGGATCGGCGCTGGGCCGCCTTCGCGCCGCCCCTGGCGCCACCCCTGGCGCCGCCCATCGCCGATCAAAGAACTCTGCGCGGACCTCAGAGAAATCCGTAAGGGCTTCGCCCCATGCCGCTGGCCCCCTATCTCGGATAATGGGAAAAGCAAGCGCTGAAATAAGAGGTCTGGGCGCCGCCGTGAAGCAGTGTCGAAACCTGTTTGTTTTGCGACCCTGCTCCTACGGATCTGCGTCAGGGGTGCCACCGAATTTCAGAAATGTGGCACATCCCCTGTGTTTTTGGACTCTGACCCTACGGATCTGCGTGAGGGGTGCCGCCGAGTTTCAGAAATGTGGCAAATCCCATGTGTTTTTGGACCCTGACCCTGCCGATCTGCATGAGGGGTGCCGCCGAATTTCAGACATGTGACAAATCCCTTGTGTTTTCGGACCCTGACCCCGCCGATCTGCGTGAGGGGTGGCGTCGAATTTTAGAAATGTGGCAAACCCCGTGTGTTTTTGGACCCTGACCCCGCCGATCTGCATGAATGGTGCCGCCGAATTTCAGAAATGTAACAAATCCTTTGTGTTGTTGGACTCTGACCCTACGGATCTGCGTGAGGGGTGCCGCCGAGTTTCAGAAATGTGGCAAATCCCTTGTGTTTTTGCAGCCTGATCCCGCCGATCTGCGTGAAGGGTGCAGCCGAATTTCAGAAATGTAGCAAATCCTCTGTGTTTTTGGACTCTGACCCTGCCGATCTGCGTGAGAGGTGCTGCCGAATTTTAGAAATGTGAGAAATCCCATTTGTTTTCGGACCCTGACCCCGCCGATCTGCGTGAGGGGTGCCACCGAATTTCAGACATGTGGCAAATCCCTTGTGTTTTTGGACCCTGACCCCGCCGATCTGCGTAAGGGGTGTCAAATTTTGCCCACCCCAGCAATTCAGACAACACGCTCAGGGCGTGCTAAACCTGCCCGCTTGGGCCTCCCCCCCCTCGCGTGGTCCATCAACAGGGAACAGGAAGCAGCAAGAAGCAGAGCTGTAACAGCGGAAACTGGAAGCTGCAACTGGTCCAGGAGACTGCGAGCCTTCGGCCTACAGCCTGGTGGCCCCACAAGGGGGCCGGCGGATTATGTTTATGCATTTTTTGTTGTTGTTACATATTTATTTATTTTTTTATGTTTGACAGATCTTGCAAGCCCAGGACTGGATTGGCCAGCACTGGTGTACGAGGACAGCCGGCGCCTTCACAGCCCTCCCGTCCCCTCTTGTGCTGCACCTCGTCTCTTCCTCTTGCGCCTCCCGTCTCTCCTCCCTCATCTTTCCCTTCTCTTCTCCTTGTCGTCCTCATTTCCATTCGCTGATCATCTCTAACTTCCTTCAGTTTCCCCTATTCCACCTCCTCCTCCCTCCTCCTCCTCCTCCTCCTCCTCCTCCTCCTCCTCCTCCGCCCTCCTCCTCCTCCTCCTCCTCATCCTCCCTCGTCCGTCATCATCCATCTCCTCTTTCCATGTCCTCCTCACCCTCCCCCCCTCCACCTCCGTCTCCCTCCTCCTCCCGATCTTCCTTCGTCCTGCCTCTTTCTCCTCCTCCTCCTCCTGTCCCTAGCCCCTCGTCCTCTCTCCACCTTCGCCTCCTCTGAGATCCGACGTCTCCCCCGCTGCCCCGCTCTCAGGTGCCGACGTGTTCCTGATCAACACGACGGGACGGTCGTACGAGCTCGTGCCCGTGGCGGAGCGCGAGTCCTGCCTGGTGACCCAGGACGTGCGTCACGTCGGGGCGCCCAGCTCCCCCGGGGTGAGAGGAAGGAGGTCGCCGTGGAACAGCGTATGGGAAAATCAAGACGGATGTTTTTCCTCGTCTGCGGCACCTGGGGCCCTCGCCAGGTCCCAGGACTTTCAGAAACGATCCAGGCCGAAAAATCCGCCCCCAGGTTGCTTCAGAGCTCCGGGGATCCCGTAGCCAAAACATCAGGGCGTCGGGGCTCTGTGGATCTCCGCGCGGACTCCTCGGATCGGCGCTGGGCCCCTGGATCGGCTCCGCGCGCCAGGGAAGGGGGTCCAGCGCCGATGCAAGAACTCCGCGCAGAGCTCTGACGCATTGATGCTCACGCTGTGCTCTCTTTTGCTGAAGGGGCCGCCACGAAGCAAACGGGTTCTGGAGGAAGCGGGTCCTCAAGTTGTCCGCCGTCTGCGGGCTCCCTGGGCCCTTTACGGGCCACGGGGGCTCCCAGAAATCGGCGCAGGAATCGGAGGTTGATAGACCTCCTGCCCTGACACGTCGATTAGCGAATTGGCCGTTTTCGGTTCGCGAGAGGGCGTCGCGGCCGTCATTTTTGCGGGTCCAGGTCCGTCGGTTTCGGTCCTAGGCCGTTTTCACGAAAGGGAGGTTTACTAAAGGGAGGCTGGTCCACCGCCGAAGGATGAGGAGCTGGCCCCGGAGAAAGGCCCCGGCTTCCGTGCCAGAAGCCGGGGGCGTGAAGATGGCCCGGCTTCGGGCTTCGCGGGTCGCGGCCCAGGCCAGGGCGGGTGCGTCTTGGGGGCCTCTTGGGGGGCCTGATCTGGGCCTCTCGGGGCCTCTCGGTGGCCTCTTGGGGTGCCTCCTGGGGTGCCTCTCGTGGGCCCCCTTGGAGGCCTCTTGGGGGCCTGCTGACGGTCTCGGAGGGCATTCTGGGGGCGGAGGGTCGAGAACCAAGCTCGTGTTCCCTCAGTGGGTCTCTTCTGGGGCCCTCTTGTGGCCGTCTTGGCCCGTTCTCTTCGGGGGGTTACTGTATTGGGTCATATTGGGGTCCTCTTGAGCCGTCTTCGAGCGTCGGCAGTCTGAAAAGGCAAGAATCTCACATTCGTCCAACCATTTCTTGCGCCCTCGTTCCCATCCTCGTTTTTTCGTTCGCGCTCTTGTTTTCGTTCTCTCGCCCTGCCTCTCTGTCCTGCGTTCTCTTGCGCGCCCCCCTTTCTCTCCTGCCCTCCCCTTTCTCTGTCTTTGTATTCCAGAGAGAGAGAGAGGGAGTTTTTTTTTTTTTTTTTTTTTTTTTTTTTTTTTTTTTTTTTTTTTTTTTTTTTTTTTTTCTCTCTCTCTCTCTCTGTCTCCCTCTCGCAACCTGCTCGCCGTGGTCACCTCAGTGCGGCACAGAGGGCGTCCACTCTCTGCCGATGCGGTGCTGCAGTGCCGCTTGCCCCGGAGTGGGTGCTGCTACTGCCCGGCCCCTCGAACGTGTGTGTGTGTGTGTGTGCGCCGTGCGCTGGAGAGAGCACACCCCTCGTCCTGGAGGCCTGGGTCGTGGCGTCGGAGACGCGCTGGCCGGAGAGGCAGAGAGTACGCAGCGACAGGCGCGCGGCGCTCGGCACTCGGATCGTGTGGGCGGCCCCCCGCGCCCCCCGCCCCCCGAGGTCGAGCTCGTGGTCCCCGACCTGGACCTCTTCGTGAAGAAGGGCACCCACCGGGAGGCCGCCAGCCGCAGGGGGTTGCCCCCCCCCCCTCCCCCCCCGTGTGGTTTTGCTTCTTCGTGCCGTCTCTGCGGATGACCTGGTCTGATCCGCCTGGCATGTCCTTGGCTCGCGACAGGGCTGCCGGTAGAGGAGGCGTCGAGTTTCGCCTTGCTCCCCGAGTGCGCAGGACATTCCGAGGGGAGTCCAGAGCCCCGAGCAGCCGTCAGTCGGCCTGGGCTCGGCGTTCGCTGTCGCTCCTGGGGAAGCAGCTCAGGGGACCTGGTTTGACGCAACCTCCCCCAGGGGCAACGGCCCCCGGGGGGAGGATATTGTGGGCTCCCTTCTGGGAGCCTCAGAGGGTCCGCAGATTCCTCGCGGCTTTCCTGGAATTTCGTGGGCATTTCTTTGGGTTTGGTAGACGTCTGGACGAACTCTGGACGAAACCCGGACGAAAGGGTGACGAGGGGTATTCGAGATCTGGACGACACCTGGTCGAAATCGCGTTTCTGATCGGGCCGCGGAGGTCCACAGAGGCCTCCACGAGGGCTCGCCCAGGGGATGGCTGCGTCGTACTCGGCGACGGTGACGCCTGCAGCAACGACGGCGAGAGCGACAGCGACGACGACCAGCGACGAGGGCGGAGGGGAGCGGCCCGCTGGCGGGCGCGCGAGAGGGAGAGGGCGCCGCGCACCTTTGAAGCGCCCCGGTCGCAGCCGCGGCGCCGCCCACCGCCGAGCCGCGCCCCTGCCTTGGCCTGCGCCCGCCTCTGCGCCTGTCCCTGCGTTGTCTTTGTTCTGTTTCTCTGAGTCTTATCATTTCTGTGTGTTTACCCCCTGCTGGCCTCCGTGGCCTCCTGCGCCTCCCCCGCCGGCCTCCTGCCCCTCTGGTCCCTCCTGCCCCTCCTGCTCCCTGCTCCTCCGGAGAGGGGGGCCCTCCCCCGCCAGCCTCGTCCGGGGACCGGGCG